GGTTGCTTAGATATGGTAGATTGATATGGTTGTTTAGATATTGTTGCTTAGATATGGTTGATCAGATATCGTTGCTTGGATATGGATTCTTAGATATTGCTGCTTAGATATGGTTGATCAGATATGGTTGCTTAGATATTGTTGCTTAGATATGGTTGCTTGGATATGGTTGATAAGATATAGTTGCTGAGATATGGTTGCTTAGATATGGTTGCTTAGATATGGATGCTTAGATATGATTGCTTAGATATGGTTGATCAGATATGGTTGCTTAGATATGGTTGATCAGATATGGTTGATCAGATATGGTTGATCAGATATGGTTGCTTAGATATGAATGCTTAGATATTGCTGCTTAGATATGATTGCTACTATATTGGAATACAACGGTGGAAGTTCTCTCACCATAGAAACAAACACATAGCGTAGTGACTGCACATGTCTCAGTGACATTTTGTTATTTTTAGTAGTGTAAAACAATAAACAGCAAAGGAAGTAAGGAATTATTAATTATATATGATAATTTGGTTATACAATCAAATAATTTCATTTTTAATTTAATTGCATTAATTGAACAAGTCACATCAATTAAAACTGGTTATATTATTACAACGGTAAAACATAGTTGAACTCTGGTGACCTTGCCCTTTGTTATATAATATAATTCCCTTTAACATAGTTTGTTTCAATATAAATATACATTGTCATAATTAATTTTGAATACAAACAAGTTTTGGGGTTGAACTAACAGTCTACCGAATGTCCTTTAATGATGTAAATATCTTACAAAAACATTTGTGCCTTATTTGTTTAATTATTTTAAGGGACATAATTTCCAGCTTTATTCAAAGTAATTCAGATATTTTAGTATAAAAACAAATGCCTCATTGCAAAAAAAAAAGTGCTGCATTTAGACGTGAATAGATTCATAAAACATGCAAGATAACAGAAAATCTTAGCTGGCTTTTGTCCAAGTATTTTGTACAGGTGTCTGTCAAAAATTAATGATTCACTGAGACAAATATGAACTGCCTCATTGTGTGACTACTGTATTATATGAAAAGTAAAAAAAAAAAAAAAAAAACACCCTTTATGAATAGCTATCATGTTGCAAGCTCTGCTTTGTATGCAAATCAACTTAAATAGTTGGTGTCCAGTGGAGGGAGAATTCAACAGTACTGTTGCCTCCTGAGAAACTACATCTTCAAACACTGCAATCTCTGAAGTGCGTTTTTAAACTAGTATTATAAAAACTCTATCATTCTGTTCTAATAGCTGAAACATATTCCTGTGAGTTTTCATTTGTCA